CGAAGAGATTGTTGAAGACTACTTTCCAGAAAACTTGCTTGTCGCTCATAGTCATTCGGCTTATTGTGCGATCAAAACGAAGATTGATGTGAGTATCATCTTTAGGTGACTTTCATATATCTATTCGTGTACTAACAGCTAATTCGATCGTACCATGTAGAAACTACGTTCTAAGCAGCAATCTATGGCCAGCTCAAACAAGCGTTCTCTAATGAAATCAGCTGTCAGGACTAAAGCGAAGAAAGCGGAGAATGACAAATTCGATAAATCATAGAATGCTTCCTTTTTATTTTTCTTTCCGTAGTATTATTTACAATTATGTATGATTTCGCACATTAAATATGCTTTCTGGAAATTTCGTTGACTATTACCTAAACATGAAAATGATATGAATAACCAAGGCACAATCCATCTCGTAATGAAAAACAATGCAAATCACGAATGAGACAAATTGCAAATAAACACGAATGGAAATACCATCCCAAAGTGAAGATGAGGACTGCGCTTAACTAAACTTGCAACAGCTCTATGAAAACGAGCTTTTTAGCAGTACGGTAAGCGCCGGAGTAGCCAATCAACGAACCTGCGCTAAATATAGTAGACTGTACACGATCCAAAGTTTGAGTTCTTGTACGCAGTCTAAAGCCACCACTAATTATCATGTGACTTCAAATGAATAGAAAAAAAAAATGGATGAATATATGTCTGTAAAATGATAGTTTATATGGTACTCTTTTATGTAACAGAAAGTTTTTTTAAATTGGATTACTGTAACATAAAATCAGTTATTTTACCAAGTTCGAAATAAATTGGCCGGTCCGGCACTACATAATGCGGGCCAAATTTTATAAACTGTCCAGAATTAAAAATTCGATCAACCGTATTTTTAGCATGTGAATTTTAACGTGTAGATCTGCGCGTTTGCAGATATTAATATTAATATATCTCACTTGTAAAGATGCTACCAAAGAGACGAACGAAAAGTTCAACTTGCAGCCGCACGAAAAAATAAAGCTTTAAAAAATGCAATTAATGAAACTTTGTAAATGATGATGAATTATTATCAGATTGTTATAATTCTGACGCTGATTAGCATGATGTTGAACTTGAAAATAATTTTCACAAACTGGATGCATACAGAAAAGACTTAACAGGTACTGCAGCTTTATATACGGTAAACACTATAGATCACATCGCCGGATTCCTGAAAATGTAATTGATTATGTAAATTCTTAATAAAGCTATCGTCTTACTAAAATTCTTGATTTTTTCACGTGACTGAATTACAAGATCAAAAATTTGGCCACAAAACAAAAAAGTGGTGGCTTTAGACTGCGTGCACCTAATAATGGGTCCGTATCATTTCACCGACAGTTCGTTTCGCCGACAATTGATTACCGAAAAAGATAATTTTGAAATAATGTTGGTGAACATTTGTCGGTGAAATGCATCCCCTGAAAGAATCGTATTACTTGACACACGCTTTTCCAGAGTGCTATTATATACGACTGATCCATCTAGTAACAGACTTTGGATCACTTACTTCAGTTTCATTGTTGTTGTTGCTGTTGTGATCATGTTGCTGTCACTGTCATTGTTAGTGTCGATGTTGTTGCGACTTTATTGTCATTGTCATCGATAGGTAAATCATACACACAATGCATTTTCCAACCAAATAAAGCCTGGTGGGGCGTACAAGAATGCGCTGAGTGCACGGTTGAATTGTACGTCATGACAGGTTCGTAAATCGTTTGGTTCAACCCCTTTCTATCGACTGTGGATGTCGGGGACGACCATGCCAAATTTTAATATTAAAAATATAGCAGACATTTTTGATTATATCTGCAACAAATTCTTTCCCATTGTCGCTTTGAAGAACGCACGAGGGCCCAGAATCTTAAAAACGTTATTTACAAGATGCTTTGCCACAGTGGCAGCTTTCTTATTCTTCATCGGGACTGCAACAAGGAATTTCGAAAATGTACAGACACAAGGCGCATTTACTGTTTTCATCTGCAAGTCTATAAGGTCAAGTTGGTGTCCATGTTGTTGTTGAGACAACTGGTGTCATGTCAGTTTTTCTTTGATTGATGTGTTGATCGCAACAAGCTGAACAGTCATTGACACATATTCCCCGTACGTCCTTTTGTGTAATTCCGATATGTTTTTGTGATACTCACGATGATTTGTTTGATCGTGAAAGTGTTTTAATATCAGATTCTGTAATTCTTGGTCATACTTTGGAACCACACGATGTTTTTCGCTCTTGGTGGTGGCTTTGACGTAAAGAATATTGTTGCTGTCAATCTCGAATGATGAATGAAATTAGACTTCTTTTGTGGGCTTTCACCAGCGCTAGGGGGAATACATTGGATTGGAGATAGAGAACAATAGATATTCTGAAATTTTTACAATTGCAGGCATGTTGGTACAAAAACTGTAATGAGCAATACTCGAGTAAACTAATTACTATTGTGATGCATGCACGACTAAATAACTGCTTTGCTGTTGCATGACATTTGTACTACCACGAGACTAGTACATAATAAAACCCATCACGTGCGAAGCACTTGGTTGAGATCGACATATATATACTGTATATGTTATCTAACGCGAGATGTTGATGTATCAAAATTTTATACACTTTGACATACAATTAAAACATCGGTCACTACATATATCTGCGAATAACGTCTCATATTAGTGCAATTGATCCGAGTGATGAAGGAACAGGCAAAAAGGTTTTGACGGACGTTTGCGCAAGATACGGAAAAAAAACCAGTAACAACATATTTAGCAACCATTTAACACACACGTAAGTCATTTTTTATTTCCTTTATCCGACAGTAAGAGAGAGTTGTCTTGTTCTTATTAAAGCGCTTTTGTTAACAAAACCTCAGCTGTCGGCTATCTTTCTACTACATACCCGTAATATAGAATTGTTTGCTGTGCTTACGCTTTGGACGAGAAAATGTTATATGTAACGCGCGAGTAAAGAGAAGCGTTTACATAATAATAATATGATAAAAAGGCATTCATGTGCTGCTGTCCTTGTCCAGCCAAACGAATAGCTTATCAATATTACACCAATTTTTCTCTACATCTGGACGATTATCAACATACAACCTCGCTCGGCAAGTTTTCTTGAATTCCTCTGAAGCAGACTGATAGTTCAACCCCCCACAAATATGCATATTAATCTTATTTCTAAAAGGCGGTTTACCAGTAGCATAACGATGCCGAAAGAATATACATACAGTATACTTCCTGCGTAAACTTGCAGGTATGGTGCAATAAAGGATAAACTACAAATGTTGCGTAAAATAAAAGCATTATATCATTATGTTAAGTAGTCGTTGTAGCTGTTCTAGTCATTGCAGCTTGCAAGTCTCAAAATTACCATCGTTCTTCTTTTCGCCAAAATCTTACAGTAATAGCGCGCTTTCCAATAATGTAAAACGAGATACTCAAGTTTAGAGCTTGGATAATATAAAGTAAAATATAAAAAATTTTTAAACAAAGGAGGGGGGAAATATTAGCTAAACAAAGCTAAATTAGTTTTTCTTTATTAAATCATTCAATTTGTGTTCACTACTACATTCAAATTTGTATTTCTAACCTATTTATCATACACTATTGCTGAAGATTTGACAGAATACTGCTGAAATAGTGAGTGGACGGTTCATACAAAGTTGTATTAGTCGATACTCCTCGTAGGTTTCGATGCTGCTGAAAAGCGTGATTGTGTTTTTAAAGATCTCGGTTTGACTTACCAATTACGAGCGAAGCACCATATAAGATGTACAAATTAATTTACAGAGGCGTTGGGACGAAACTTTCAACTTTGAAGTATTGTTCTCATACAGAAGCATGATCTATGTGTTGCATAAAAAATATAACGTATTATGTAATTTATTACTTTATCGCACGAAGTCTGTTCATACAGTCTATAATTAATTACAACTAAGTAAATTCACCAACTATATTCTTCAACTTCATAAAAAATATGCTAGCAAGAACAACTGTCGTGTTAAACCGATCCGATAAACATTGCGAGTTATTTGTAGTCATACTGATACTCAGCACATATTATCATTCTAGCAGTATTTGCTTGAAACTGATAGAAAAAATAACAAATAAGCTGGTGTATGGGTCTCCTATGTTATTGACTGGTAACGTTTCGAGAAGGCTTCAAATACGTTCGAAAAAAAGGGGAATCTGAATTTAGGCACGGTATGAGCAAAACATTATTACTGTTAATAAATTGAGGAGCAAGCAGGTGGATGTTGTTGAAAACTTAGAAAGTTTTACAAAATTATTGGCTGGTTTGCCATAAAACCACCTCTACGTTGGATTGAAGGGTTATATCATCCTTCATGATTATGATGGATTCGTCATTGTCACATTGAGAGAGCACCTTCCGGCTTTTGTCTAACGTCGCGTCGTCGTTGATGTATCTAATCTTGTCGCTTTGGCACTTCTGGATGTGGACAGTTGGGAAATGTTATATCAACCAAGATAGATTAATTCTCACTTCGCCAAATGCAGAGATTATTGTTGTCACAAAGTATCTCGTAGAGATTCATCACTCCTCCGTATAATATTTGAACCTCTGTTATTACAAAAGTACATATCAACATTCATGATGGATCGCCATTATCTCATTGAGAGAGCACCCCCGGATTTTGTTGACGTATCTAATTTTGTCGCTGTTGGCACTTCCGAACGTGAACAGTTGGGAAAAGCTTATATTATCCGTAAAAATGGTCTTCAACTACAGAACTATTTGCTATTGCATTTTGCAGATCTTTGCTTCATCTGGAGGCAGGCCATTATCGTTATCAGACCTGCATTTTCTGATCGCCACAATCCTTTCTTCACGGAAATGGCTACCGCTCCAAACAACATAATTGAGAATTTAGGCCATGGTTTACTGTTTGATCAAAGTGGTTTGCGTCTTGCGCGTAAGTCTGCAGTTCGAGTGAATTGCTCCATCGAAGAATTGCCAAAGACAAGACCCTCTGTACAGCTTATAAACATTCACAAAATACGTGATACATACATATATGCAAATAACCTTACACTTGATAAAGACGACCCTCTCTTTAATCCCCCCAAACCATTTTTTCATTTTAAAGAAAACAATCCTTTTTATGATGAGACGCCTGATAAGACGGTCATTTTCCGAATAGACAAAGAACTAT